CATCATGATTATGATGATTGACGCTTTCTCCGCCTACGGCAGAATATGCAACACACACGAGGTGAAGAATATCAGTCACAGTATGTTTTTATGGGCTGTGGCATCCCAGAAGCAAGACGTACGCTATTATTATTATTATTTTTTTTTTTTTTTGATTTGGGAGGTTTTTCTCAATACAATCCATTGCAACATATCCGTGACCAAGGCAAGCCTTCATGTTACTCGTCTTCGGCGGTGGTTTGATCTGGAGAAGAATGGTCACAAATATTTTCAACCCAGGTATGTGGAAGGAGCAGTTTAGTTGTTCAGCTGTACAGCGAGCCTATGATCCAACCCTTCGGACTGATGATGATGTGTTTACTCGAAACGTCAAATAACGGCTATATCTATCTGTCATTTTACACTTGCATTGGTTATATTTCTGCATAAATAATCTCGTAGTTTTATGAGTACAATTAATTCATGACGCATGTTAAGAAGAATTCTGATTTTTAAATAATTCTTGGGACAATAAGTGCAGTGGTTTCACGTTGCTGTCTACATAGATTCATATTCAGCGTTTTCCTTCTCTTTGAGGTTTTGCCATCCAGTCTATCCGGCTACGTAACCCGTATCTGGGGGAGAAGTGACGGGTTTATATTTTTTCTACAATTTCAAATAAAGACATTTTCTTCTCTTAAAACTGTATCCCATTCATTTTACTCTGCTTATTAACCTATGCCTATGGGAGAAAAAAAGAATCTATGCCCTTCCAAAGTGCCTTTATACGAAACCGGAAGCAGCAATGCAACCAAGAATTTGAACTAGGATCGCCGATTCCACTCTCCGCATTGATATTCATTATACTACCGGCACAATGAGTCACTGTCGGTCACTGTGTGTGTTTCTAAAAATAAAAATACACTAAAATTCACCTTCGCCCCTGCCGTGTGGCGACAGCTTAGTGGTAGAATCTCCGATTGATACCAATTCAGTCGGGTTTCGATCCTAGCTAGAGGCAACCGGATGTCTAGCCACACTGATGAGCTGCAAAACAGTCTGTGGATGACCTTATATATATTAACGTTTTCTCTTATAGTTTAAATTCTTTTCTAATATTTTCTAAAATACTGATAGCTTTTCTTAAATAGTACATGCTTAAATACATTCCAAACATTTTCCCCTGAATATGTTCTCCTGAAACAGTCTAATTGATGTAATGGAATAACCACTCACCCCCATGAATGATTACACTATAGGTAGTAAGTACCTATAAAGCCTACTCTCTACGTGAGGCTTGGAGACGAGGTGAGAGCGAGACGACGGAAGCACGTTCGACTTTCCAATTCGTGTCACTCACTTCTAGATCGACCTGTGTGTATAACTGTACCGTATTTCATTTCGTATCCACCTGGTGTTATGTGTTTATTCCCTTAGCACGGAATATAACTTTAATATACCAGTAAGTTTTTTCAAGTCGTCAAATACGATAGGTGCGAATGTCTACATTAGTGTTATAACATTTAGACATTTGTAAAATAATTGATTTCTTGTGACCTAATTCGATTAACTTTTGTTTCAATATAATGAAGATGGGTTTAATTCAGTTTTTGTTTTTAAAATGTCACCCACAACACGACATTTCTAAAGTCGTATATAGTTATAGCTATGATTTTATAGAGCTTTCTAGAACGTTAGGGCAACTGCAAATCCATTTGTTTTTGTTTATTTGCAAGTTTGTATGTTATGCTATAGCTATAAACTGTTAAATGTGTTAAAAATATATAAGTATTCTCCATTTACAAAATTAGCAAATTGGAGAGTTTTCATGTCAGTTTATTGAAAGTTTCGTTGGATATTCTCTGAAGTGTCCTTTTTTTTGCCATCGTCTTTTGTAGCTATTATTGTCTATATTCTTCCCTTTATCGTCTAAAGACTGCGTTTTGTTTACATTGTTCGAATTCAGTACGGTGACGACATCATGGCGGAGCCTGAATCTCCTACTGAAGTGACTCCTTCAGTGTGGGCAAAGGATAGGCTCCCACAAATAAGACCAGAATATTATAAAAAGATTTAAGACAAATGTGAACCATTTGTTAATGTAAATGTGTTCCTACTGGTGCCACCTCTGTTAGATACTCAGACGTGATGGAGGAGGCCCTGAAAAGCTTTCAAATATCAGCAAAAATTTTGGCAAGAAGAAGTAAGTCAATGTGGGAAATTTTGTTACCTACAGAAGATACAACTAAATCGCTGGTAGGCTGTATTCTGACTACTACTACAGTCAGACTACAAACCGAATACATGGGAACAAGTAAAGCGAAGGTGATTCTATATAGAGTCCCCCTTTTCATATCCGAAGATTATCTCGGCTTTTTCTTTTCTAAGCACAAGGACGTCTCCGATATCTCCCCTATTAAAAGTAAGGCTGGAATAGCCACAGGCGATTTTGAAATCGCAATTACAACCTGAAAGCAGTTCATGGAAATGCCGAACACATTAATGTGTGAAGGAAGGCTTGTTTAGTCGTTGTTAAAGGCCGTAGACTATTTTGTTGGGCTTGTGGGGCCGCGGGAAATTTATCAAAGTCTTTCCCGGGACATAATCCAGAACCACAACCCAAAAAGAAAAGTGAGGAAAAATCGGCAACAGGTCAGACAAACAAAATCTGTAAAGAAAACTGGAGAGTGGACGGAAGTCGTGAGGAAGGATGAAAAGTGGCTACTATTTCCCTTCAGCAGCAGCAGCAGCAGAAGCCCCAACTTGAGCAGGAGGACCAGCAAAGGGTCCAAATTACAGTAGAGGTAGAAATGGAGGCGATGCCCCAACCTCGGTTGTCATCACTAAAAAGGGGGGAAAGAGGAAGTATAAGAAAAAGAGTTAAAAATCACGAAAAAGGATAAGCGAGCTGGCAAATGTAGGGTCGAAGAAGCAAACAAAGAGACAATCAAAACCAAGGCTCAACCCGTCCCGGCGTCGCCAGTCAAGAAACAATTACCTCAAGGAGACTCCCTTCTTCCTCTCTGGAAGCATACCCCTTCTCCTCCCAAAACACCCCCTCCCAATACCACCCGCTTTCTACCAACACAACCCCCAGCGACTCTCCAGCGCCCAGCACCTCACTCCATAGTTCTTCTCGAGTTGGGTAAGATCATGTCAAATAGACAAGCGGGTAGTAGAAAAAGGACATTTCAGCACTAAGAAAACGCTGTTAAAACCTTTACACAAAACACCGTCAATAGATGGACGCTCTATAGAAGACCCCTAAAATTTCCCTAAGGCTGAATGGGTAATAACTTGGATCAGGAACACGGGCAGAGATCTGACAGTATAGGATCATCTGCATGAAGCAAAGGACGCCTTTCCGGATATCCGTATGGTGGAAATGAAAACACAGGACCTAAAAAAGCTACAGAGATATTGTGTGGGGAAGGTCCTGGTAATCAGCCCTCCTTCATTATATAGGGCTATAAAACTGACCTATCCCGCGGACGTCGGTGGCATTGTCCTAGATTGTCGATGTTGAAAGAGATGGGGCCAGGGAACCTGGGACAATCCGTCGGGGTCTTTTCATCCGCAGATTTCCGTCCAGTCTGTGAGTAGGGGAATCAACGTGACAAATGTCTCTCAAGATAGCTAGTCTGAATGTGAGCGTCTCGAGGAATCGGAGTAAGGCTGCCTGTCTCCTGTCCTTCGGTGTCGATGTAGCTGCGATCCAGAAAACTCGCTTTGCTTGCGAGGTCGATGCTCGTGTGCTGTCTAGCGAATATATAGTCTATTCAGCATACGTGAACCTGCCGGCCACAGTTCTTTCCGTGCTGGTTAAACGATGCGAAGGTGGACATTAGCCATGTCGATGAGGTGGGGCGGTGGGGCTTTGGCTAATATTGTCGAAAAATTCAGAGCAACCTGCATCTGATCCGCACGATCCTAGAGGGCATAAAAGACGACGGGCAAGCCGCGCGTTTCAGTTTGGATCAGTCATTTGAAAGTCGTTCAACTCTGAACCGACTGTTTGGTTAAACTCTCTTCCTACGGACGGGAGGAACCCGAAGGAGGCTACGCCGAAGAGCGGAATCTCCTTCGGGGAGGTAAAACCGGCCCTGAACCCGTTTATACGGGTTCAATGGGCTATTTTTTGGCCGTGCCTAATGGCTCGGGAATGCCCACGTTAAAAAGGCCTTGTGCCACATGACACCCTCGTGGGGGTGGTGACTGAATATCGTCATTTGATAGGGTCGACCCTCGGTAACTGGATGCTGTACTGCAGGCCGCCGGATCCGAACCCGTCTTCTGCAAGTGGATTAGCGTTCTGTATCGCAACTCTTAAGGACACATGGCACACTGGATAAAGAGCTTCTACCACTGAGCCATCTCCACACGACAGAATGAATTTAGCGTATTGTTTTTACAAACGTAAACAAGCGACAAGCAGCCAAAAGTGCTTCCATATATACATATATATATATATATATATATATATATATATATATATATATATATATATATATATATGGGGGGTGATGCAAGTGAAACAGAAAGAGAGAAATTCTAGGCATACAAAGTATACAAAAACACTGGCAAGAGAAATAAGTCAATTTAGTCAAGTTCGCGTTCGATGTAGATAAGCTTTACAGCAATAAACACAATCAAATGACTTTAATGACGACCGACTAGCAAGCTTTTCTGGTGTCTTGTGTGACGATCACGAAGGAAAAAAAATCAATAACGTGTTTGGCATCCATGTTTTGGGGCAATAAACGGCGTGGATTTGGCGAGAAATTTGTAGAATTGACAGAAGCTTCCAGCCAGATGATAGTTTTCATTTCTTTTCTTACTAATGCTCTTTTGTAAGTGTGTGCTTGAAGGGAGGGAAATTGAATGAAGTGTTATTTGGGGTAGTATGCTTCTAAATGCCATTTTGCCTCGGTTATAGTAGGAGAATTCGTTCTTTTCTTTTAATGCTAGTAAGGCGAACGTTAAGAAAAGAAGAAAATCGAATCAAATCGAAAGTAAGGTTAATGACACATTCTGCCTCACTTTCATTCGTCTTCTTTTTGCCTTGCTTGTCTATCAATGGCGTCAATCTAAAGCCAAAAATGTCTGAAAGTTGCCTGGAGAGACATGTGGCCGTATGTTTGATTATTTTTCTTTCTTTCTTTATTTTTTTTACGTCCATTAACACCCCTAGTTTTCGTTTTTCATTTATTATTCCTTTCTTTCTTGTTTTATTTCGCATTCACTATTTTTTAATCATCTTTCGTTCGTTATTTCTTCATTTTTATTTTTAATTTTATTCCAAACTCCAGTTTTTTTTTCTTTCTTCCGCAATTCCTTTCTTTATCATATCCTTTATCGTTTGTATCTTTTTTCTTACTTATCAATCAATTATTTTTTTTTTTTACTTTTCTTCCTGTTTTCTATTACTTCCTCCACGTTTTTTCTTGCTTGTCTTTTTGGTTTGGTTTGGCTTATTTTGTTTTACGGCATATCAACTTCAATGGATTATTTAAAGACGACAAAAAAAATTATTGTTGGTAATATTTTTCTTTCCAAAAATGTATTTCTGGTAATATTATTTTTTCTTAAAAAATCTATTGCTGCAAATATTTTCTAAATATTTTTTCTTGAGAAGATATTGGTGGTAATAATGTATTTTTGTTAATAATGTTTTACAAAAAGGTATTTCTGATATTAAGACCTATTTTTACACTTTCATAGTGTTTTGCCCCCATTTTAGGGGTTAACTATTTGCCCATAGCTAGGACCCTAAGAGGTGCTACCAGCCGGGGTCAGGGTGGACCTGGGAACACCAGTAATTAAGAAGTGGTTCCACGCTCCGCAAAACCTCCTGATCAGAGGCCTTTGCTGTTGGACGTAGTTTATCGTCATACCCAGGACGCAGATGTAGCTTATCGTCATACCCAGGACGGTGTCGTTTTGGGTTTGTTTAAAATATTTTTTTCTTTTCTTATTTTGGTTCTTCCTTCTTCCTCGCTTTTTTATTCCCTTATTTTCTCCATTTACTTATTTCTTTTTTTTTTCTCATGTAGCTATTACTTCCTTTTCAATCATTATTTACTTTCTTTCATTCATACATTCTTTCTTTTTTGTTTCTTTCTTTCTCCATTTGCTATTCCTTTTCTGCTATGTTTATTTAGTTTCGTTTCGTTTCGTTTTGTCTCTTTGTTTCTTTCTTTCCATTTTATTTGTTTCTTTAGTTCTTTCTTTCTTTGCTTTTCAGTAATTATTTGCTTTCTTTCTTCCTTCCTTTCTTTCATCATCATTTCTTTGTTTCCTTTCTTTCTTTCTTCTTTCTTTCTTTCTTTACGTTTCAGTAATTATTTACATTCCTTCTTCCGTCCTTTCTATTTTTCTTTCTTTTTCTATTTTTGTTTATCAGCAAATGCTTACTGTTTCTCCTTCCTTCCTTAATTTCATTCTTTTACTTATTTATTTCTCGCTAACTATTCTTTGCATTTCAACGTTTAATTTACTTGTTTCTTTCATTCCTTCCTTTTCTACTTATGCTTTTCGGCATTTTTTCTTCTTTCTTTATTTCTCATCTACCTACACTTTACATTTCAGCAATTATTTCCTGTCTTTCTTTCTTTGGTTTTCAGCTTTTATTTACCATCCGTCCTTCCTTTCCTCCTTCCTTCCTTCCTTCCTTCCTTCCTTCCTTTCTTTCTTTCTTTCTTTTCTACCTGTTATTTTCTTTCCAGTATTTATTTGATTTTCTTTCTTTCTTTTTTCTTTCTTTCTTTTATTTTCTTTCTAAAATTTATTTTCTATTCTTTCTTTCTTTCTTTTATTTTCTTTCCAAAATTTATTTGCTATTCTTTCTTTCTTTTCTATTTTTTCTTTCTTTCTTTTTTCTTTCTTTCTTTTATTTTCTTTCCAAAATTTATTTTCTATTCTTTCTTTCTTTTCTATTTTTTCTTTCTTTCTTTTTTCTTTCTTTCTTTTATTTTCTTTCCAAAATTTATTTTCTATTCTTTCTTTCTTTTCTATTTTTTCTTTCTTTTCCTTTTTTTTTTATTTCTTTTATTTTCTTTCCAAAATTTATTTTCTATTCTTTCTTTCTTTTCTATTTTTTTCTTTCTTTCTTTTTCTTTCTTTCTTTTATTTTCTTTCCAAAATTTATTTGCTATTCTTTCTTTCTTTTCTATTTTTTCTTTCTTTCTTTTTTCTTTCTTTCTTTTTTTTCTTTCCAAAATTTATTTGCTATTCTTTCTTTCTTTTCTATTTTTTCTTTCTTTCTTTTTTCTTTTTTTCTTTTATTTTCTTTCCAAAATTTATTTGCTATTCATTCTTTCTTTTTTCTTTCTTTCTTTATTTGTTTTCTTTATACAAGTGTTTCAGCAGCATTTTATTTTTTTTAAATAGCTTATAGAAAGCACAAAAGTATTGCCTTGTAATATAAAAATCATAAATACAAAAAGTAGCAATGTTGCTATATGCAATTAATAAACGAACTGGCCTTAATTTACGTGAAAGCCTCCACAATAAGAAGTGCTTCTTTCCCATCGAACCTTCTGTCCACCTTTTAGAACTTTAATAACCAAGAAAGAAAGAAAACCAAAAAAAGAATTAAAAAAACAGGAACATTTTGTTAGAAACAAAGAAAAGCGCACTGAATTGCTAAGTAGTTTGAATGCTTCTACACGGCAGTGAATGCTGGACAATTTCCTCACAGATCAAAATGTGACTTGAGTCAACAGAAATTTGTTGCCACAGAAGGATGCTGAGAATATAATGGATGGAACATTTCTGGTTTACATAAGGAGGAAATGGGGTTTGGAGAATTTGATACTCACAACGACTTTACTACCTAACTTATTTCTGTAAATAGCAGTAAAACGTGAACTGGGAGTTACAGTAATAACTACAACGGATAGGGAGATGTAGAAAGCCATGACCACCTACGTCCTGAAGAAAAATGACATGAGTAGAACCTGAAATCACGGGTAGCTTTTATAGCACAAATCCATCAATGTTTAACCCATATCCTTGAGAGCATATGTCATAAGAGAGCAAATATCACTAGCAAATAAAGGAGGCAAACAGTTATCAAACGTTCCAGAGAAAATGTAATGTGTGTACTGGCTGAAAAAATGTAAAAAAAAAATATTGAATAAAGTGATAATTTTATATTTATCTATCATCTATTAAAACATTATGCAGGATGGCCGTACCTATGTGACGCTGTGAAAGGCTTCCCCCAGACTTTAGTAATTAGGTCGACTACGTAACTGAACTAGAATTGGTTAAATTACATTATTAGTAACTGAAGTGAACCCTCTTTTCTATTTAAATTTTTCTTTGTGCCCTCACCGCTGTGGCTAGAGTTCGAGTCCCCGCTTGAATAGGGGATCACCAGGCTGGACAGAGGGTACCGTCAGGGTAAACAGAGCGTCCGCCAGGTTGAGCCTTGAGTCGCTTGTATCTCTGCACCTCGTAAAGGTCAAACACCTAACCACGATGTAAAAAAAAACAAGTCGTTATGTCATCAACACAATAAAGTAGATCAATCCAATATAGTAAAAAGAACCAATCCCACATAAATCAATCAATTAAAATACTGTCAAAAAGAGCTCACCACAATACAAAGCAAACGTGGAACCAAGAAACCCATACCACTTAAGTAATAACAACAACACCCATTAAGTGAAAAAACACACACCTATAAAAGATATCAAATTACACCAAACAGTACATAAATACGGCAAAATTAAAAAAATAGCAGCAGAGAAGACAACAAGCCCTGAAGAGTGAACATGTTATCTTGATTGTAGTAGGCGTGACTGTACCAACACCACACGGCTAAGTGATAAACTTCTTCAAATTAATTCTATTAACGCTCTATCCTAACTTTTCATATCGAGCACTTTATGACAAAAGCCTGCTTGCCCCAAAGGCTTTTCCACGCGAAAAAGAACCAGCACTTCTGGTACTTAATACCACACACACACACACACACACACACACACACATATATATATATATATATATATATATATATATATATATATATATAAAAGGTGTTCCATAAGTTTCCATACATATGATTTTGAAAATTTTTATATTTTAGATACCCAAGAAATGCGTTGTTTGAATAGCAATATGGGGTGACAGAATTATTGGGCCATTTGATGTAAGTCTTAATGCCGATAAGTATCTTAACATGTTGCAAAAAGAGATTTTATCATCCCTGTTTTACGAGGATGTAATTTCTCCCTTTACTTTCAGCAAGATGAAGCTCTATCTCATTTTGGTATTCAAGTACGTCAGTGGATAAATCAGCAGTTTGCAGGTGCTTGGATTGGTCGGTGTTGTCCTGTGAAGTGGCCTCCTAGATCTCCAGACCTTAACACATTTGATTTTTATCTTTGGAGGTATTTGAAGGGTATATTGTATCAGAAAAAGATACAAAGCATAAATCATCTTAATCAACGTATCAACAACACCATTACAAATATAACTCCAGTTTTTCATATTGAATTGTCGCCATTTTTGATTTTATCTCTTGCACAGTATAGTTGGTCATCATCTGTGAGAATAAGAGCATCATCACGTAATTCACTCTGCCATAAATCTAGAAAGGGCATGTTGTACTGCTTGGCATTCGCACTGAAAGATCAAATATGAACATTTCACAGTGTTTTGGGTTTCAATCTCAAGACAGTGCAAGGGATTTGGAAATAGTTGAATGATATATCTTGTCAACATCATCGTGTCTGGAGTGATCATTAGTGATGGCAACATTATGCCTTCATTCATCTTCCCCCAGGGTCTCAGACTCAACACGGAGGCCTGATTCAAGTGCCTTTGTGGAGGTAGTGCTGGGTCACTATAAAGTATATTAATAAACACACATATACAAGTTTATCGTGTAAGTCAGAGTTTCATGGTTTTCAAACTCGTCAGTCACAAATGGTAAATGAACAATTTAATACAGTTTTTTTTTTTTAAATACTGGGTCTCATGGGAGAAACGCTAAATTGTATTCACAGTTCAAAGTTATAATAAACTTAATAGGATTTATCTGTAAATTTAGGAAAGGGATTTTTAGCAGTCATCCCCCATAAACCAACATTTTATGACAAATAATCTTTTCTAGCTTGAATAATAGTTAAAGGAAAATAATAGTAAAATAGACACTGGTTAAATATTTTAATAACATTTGAGTTAAAAATTTAAATTAACTTCTACCTACTCCATAACTGCCACTTTGTCGAAAGAAAAAGAAAGAGACGCAAGAAAAACAAAATGGAAGTAAATGAAAAGCGGGAAAAACGAAAATGTTACTTCAAGAAAGAACATAGATATGCGAATTTCGCATTTAAAGAATGGAGGAATTTTTAATTTTTCGCAAAAAAAAAAAAAAAAAAAAGAAAAAAAGAGATGCCAAAAATGTGCCGGTTGTTATATAGAAAACAAAAGCCAACGATGATAAGAGAATGCAAAAGGCAAGATTTAAAAAAAAATCATAAAAAACAGAATTAACAGAAAAGACATTATTTACATTATTCGGACTATTGTCCTCATCTTTGTCGCCATATTTATCACAACGTTTCGGCCGTTGTACGCTCCGTCCTTCTTCGACCAGGCGGAACGGAATGGTTGAAAGGAAAAAGAATGACAAGTATGTTTTTTTCTCAGAAAGACTTTTACATTACTAAGATATACACAAACTATATACACATATATACACATGCACCATGCGGAGAATAATATATCACATATATCTACACAGCGGAGAACTTTCAGAGGGAAATAAGCAGGAGATAACTGATAACTGACATCCATCAAACATGGCACGTGGAACCAGAACAGTCTACCCCAGTGAGCGTAATAAAGGGTTCAGTTCGAAATTACAACCACCTGAAGAAGGCCGGAGCGTACAACGGCCGAAACGTTGTGATAAATATGGCGATAAAGATGAGGACAATAGTCTGAAAAATGTAAATAATGTACATAATACCTCATCTCAGAAATATAGACAGACTAACAGAAAAGATTATTAGAAATTAATATTTTTAAAAAAAAGAAATATTTTTAAAAAGACAGAAGAAAGATAGTTTGATGAAATAAACAAAGTAAAATAAAACAGAAAGAAAAAAGAATTAATTGTGAAAATAAATAAATAAAGATAGATAGATAGATAGATAGATAGATAGATAGATAGATAGATAGATAGATAACTGCCACACTAGAAAACGTAAAGAAAGAGATGAAATATAAGAAAAAATAAAAAAATGAAACAAAATGTAAAGAAAGAAAGAAAGCTAATTGCGGAAAGAACGAAAGAGTTGATTGTACAAAGAAAGAAAGAAAGAAAGAAAGAAAGAAAGAAAAAAGAAAAGAGAATGAAAGACATCACAGTGAAAAATTAATACAGAAAGAGATACAAAGATAAGAAAAAAGTAAATTGCATTTTTAGAAACAAAACCTAAAGAAAGAAAAAAGGGATGATTATGAAAAGAAAGAATAAAAGATATAATTATAGAAAGAAAGAAAGAAAGAGGCAATTTTGGAATGAAACAAAGAAAGACAAAAAGAAAGAACGAAACATATCACACCAGAAAACTTAAAAAAGGAGATAAAAAAAAGGAAAAAGTGAACATGTTTAGAAACAAAATGTAAAAAAGAAAGCGACAAAAAGAAAACACAAAAGAAAAATAACGATTGAAAAGGACAAATGAAGAAGCAAAATAATCCAGACATGGAGAAAGGAAATCTGACTACAGAATAGTGAAGGAAAATAAACAAAAGTTACAGCAGTAAAAAAAAAGGAACGAGACTGACTGATTTAAGAAAATAAAACAAAATGTCCGTTCCACAGAGGACAAGTAAAAACAAATGAATGTTATCGTCTGGTCACACAATTTTCAGAAAACGAGAAATGGAATTGAATAAACTTAGAAAAGACCGGCGGATGATGTCAGGTTGTAGATGGAAGCACTCAAAGATGAAAAGAACGAAATACTAAATTAGGAAGAAAGGACTGAAGAAGATAAATTTGAGAAATTCCGATGTCAGATTCCAGAAGTGAATTGAAGCGTGTCTGAGAGAGATTAGGACGAGTGGGTCGTAGCGGTTTCTTGTTCATCTCAAGACTCGTCCGAACTGTTCAAAATCGGACATGTTTCAAGTCGGCCGAAAGGAATTAAGTTCTCGCTTAATCGGACGCCATTGTCTAGACGAGGAACGATGTGGAATTTGCAAGCAATTTCCACACGTCGATCTTGCCGTGTTTGTTTCTGGAGGATACCTCCTTCCTTATGCTCATTCAGTCCGTCTATTATTTGTTTTTACCGGCGTTTTTATTCATTTTACTGATTGACTTTTTCCCCTCGTAAGATTATAAGCTATTGATATAATCG